AATGAGAAACTATTTTGTTCTGTAAACCTTCATCTAAAGTGAGAATAGCAGCACAACTGGAAGAATGTAATTGGTCACTGAATTGTACATGTAGAAAATTTTGAAATGGTGTTATCTTTGGCTATGTATATTTTCACCAAAAAAAAAAAAAGGTCCTCCAAGGTCGAGAAGGGAGTGTTGACATGTCGTGGGGTTGTTAATCAATGTCATAAAACAATATGTGTACTGAGTGTTTAATGAGAAGCTATTCGTTCTGTAAACCTTCACCTAAAGTACAATAAAAAAATTTAAAAAAAAATTTGATTTTGCTGGGCATGAATATCACCTCTAATAATGATGTAGAATAAGTTAATGTTAAAACTCATTACACTGGAAACTCATTAAATTGGAAAAAGGTGACATAAAAGGTGATAAAATAATCTTCTCTCACAATATGGTCTAGTAGTCTGCTACGGAAATGAATAACTGACATATATTAAACAAAGGGGTGCCTGTTTATATTTTCAAATTCCTACTTGATTATGTGTTCATTAAATATTTACTCAACAGTAAAAGCAAAAATTCTATTGAAATATTTTTTACCTTTGACAATGAAAGGGAAAAATGCATCCAGATATCAGATGCAATAATATAATTAGTATTTTCATTTGAGATTGTAAAAGCAACAAGACTTTTAAAAAACAAATATAGCAGAAATTATTTTATTATTTTAGAACTACCTACCTTATAAAATTGTTGTGGTCATATTATGCAATGTAGTTGAAAGAGTTTGCTAAAATGTGAAAAGCTATATAAAAAATATTATTATCCCATAGTGCCAGTACCCACATATACTTGATCATAAGGCTTCAATGATTGGCTGGTGAGAGTGGAATAAACTGGGACCAGTAAAGCTAAGCCATAAGAAGGGTGTTCAGAAGTCCTAAATACAATGTCTGAGGTAGCAATCAGAATTTCTATTAATGGGGTCTCATCTGCTTGGCAGGGACGTGGCAGCAAGGCCTTTCTGGACATCAGCAGAGTTTCAGGGCAGAAAAGTTGAATAGTCCTGGTCACAGAGATGCCTATTTACAGTCCATGGATGGGGGCATAGGAAGCCGGTTTCAGTTCTTGGGGATTGTGGGAAAGTTGGCAAATAGATGAAGGTTCAGAATAGGCTAAGGCTCAAAGTTCCAGCTGGAAAAGAGAAAACAAACCAGGCACCTCATCAGAAGCTTACTCATGTGACCCTGGTGCCCATAGTTGGATGTTACGAAGGAAGGTTATGGTTCAGTGAGTCACTGGATATTGGATTTAGGGAAAGCACAGTAATTCTAAATCCTACCCACCAGTTTTCATTTTACTTGGATCTGCAATCAATGCCCATGGAAGCAGTAGTCAAGAAATCAAACGATGTATTATATTGCAAAAGACCTCTTTAAAGTGTTAAAAAGCAAAGATGTCGCTTTCAGGACTAAGATGCACCTCATATGCATGTGAAAGCTGGACAATGAATAAGGAAGACCAAAGAAGAATTGATGCCTTGGAATGATGGTGTTGGTGAAGAATATTGACTATACTCTGGACTGCCAGAAGAACGAATAAATCTTTCTTGGAAGAAGTACAGCCAGAACGCTCCTTAGAAGTGAGGATGGTGAGACTTGAGACTTCGTCTCACATTCTTTGGACATGTTATCAGGAGGGACCAGTCCCTGGAGAAGGACATCATGCTTGGTAAAGAAGAGGGTCAGCGAAAAAGAGGAAGACCTTCAATGAGATAGATCGACACAGTGGCTGCAACAATGGGCTCAAACATAGCAACGACTGTGAGGATGGCGCAGGACCACGCAGTGTTTTGTTCTGTTCTGCATAGGGTAGCTATGAGTCAGAAGTGACTTGATGGCACCTACAACAACAACAACCCACCAACTGGGAAGGAACTCTGGCCTTTTTCTTATTAGGTGAGAGGCAGAGCAGTGCAGACAGTGGGAAGCAATACCTGTAGGCTACATGTCTTTAATAACTGAAGTTGGCACATAGTAGTTGATGAATACTGAATGAAGCGTGATTAAATTCATACGAATGTTGTATTTCAAACTAGTCACCTTGGAAGGTTATACACTTATTTAAATTATGCTATCATTGCTCAAAATATTTTGGAATTCTTTCGGAATTGCCTTCATACATATCACCAAGAAAATCAGTATCATTATGATATCACTCAGTTTGATTACACATCAGATTTGTCTCCAAGTGATTTCTAGATATATCTAGATATCACATCTACTTTCAAGATATAAAGATTTGCTACTTTGAGGATATTCAAAAGAATGCGCCACAGGCCTCAAGGCAATTCTAAAAGAATTGTTCCAAAAGTAATTTGAGCAATAGCAACATCATTAGAATAAGCAGACGGCCTCCAAAAGTGACTACTTTGAAGACAATGCCGCTCCTTACGATGTATATGTTTGAGTACGTTTGTTAAACAAATCATTCACAATAATTTATAGTAACACTTTATGTATGTGAAGCATATTAGGAATTAGACTTTTAAATTCCAAATTATCCTG